GGGGAGTAGAATCGTAGCAAAAGAAAGGGAAAACAAAGGGGCGATCCGAGGGAGGGGGGGAATTTTGAAAATCAAAAAAAAAATAAATAAAAAACATAACGGAAAGGAAGAGACCCGACGTTAAGGCTGTCGTACGACTCGAGAGTGGAACCTTCTTTTCGCGGTTATTTCGGTGGGGACTGCCCTAAGGTAATTGCCGACGCGTCTCTTCGCACCTCATCATCGTCATCAGCACAGGCGTCGTCGTCGTCGTCGTTGTCGTCGTTCACCATGCTGGGATGGAGATGCGATGGACCACCCGTTCGACGTGGAACTCGCCGCGACGCCTTGCGTCACTTCCCGCCATTGACATGCCTGCTCGGGCTACTTGCGCTCTCAACCCTTTGGCCAGGACGAAGAAGCACAGAGAGTGAGAGAGAGAGAGAGAGAGAGAGAGAGAGAGAGAGAGAGCCACCCGGGGTATATGAGCTAGCACCGGGACTGCGACCACGAGCACCATCGCCACCCATTCGTCTATTGTCGCCTCCAAAGATCACAGATACCCACGACGAGATTCCAGGCATTCTCGCGACGACGAAACTCGCAAGGGCGAAGGGGGACGGCAGCGCCGCGACGCCCACGGAATGCGACGTACTGCCCGAGGGACCACACGCATCTTGGCTCCTCTCGAGCTGCTCTCGTTATCACGAGATAGGAGTTCATCCCTCGGTCCACCCTGGCTCGACTTGGTCAGGTTGCGATTCCGGTTAATTTTAACATCGGTGGAATCCACCGCGTAACCACTTTTAACGGCTGAAATGGCCAGTGGGCCAAATTTGTTCGATTTCGTTGGACGCCTCTTTTCCCCGCTATTTACGAAACTTCTCTTCGGCCCGTATCTGGATGAAAATGAGAATGGATAATGAGAAGGTTAATCACGAAGGACTTACGAGCTGATTCTGATAGGCCGTGACGGCGGTGAAGATGGCCTCGGGGAATACGAAGGTCTTGTGCGGCTCACGTTCCAGGTCGACTATCTGACTACCGTTTCCAGTATCCGGTCTTCTCACCAGGTGGATCCTGGGCTGATACTTGTGCATGGAATTGAGTACCAACTGAAATCATGTCAAGATTAATTATTTCGATGGGACAAAATGAGCGACTTGCGTAACCCTTAAGAAAATTAATTTTTCAACACAGTCCTCCAATATTTACTCCCTGATACGCATTTCAGGACTACCGAGAGGATTCTACGAACATCCTGTACCGCCGTGAACTTCGAGGATTACGAAGATCAAATATTATTTACGTAACGCAGGAGCAATTTACCACCTAAAAATTCGCGGCTCCCAGGAGACTCTCGGGACGAGTCTTCGGCTTCAATTTTCTTATTTCCCTACAGTCCCACTTTATATTTACCCTCCGACGATCCAACCTGTCGCCTCCCCATTTCCTCGAGCTTATCAGCCAAACTGTTTTACTTTATTTTTAAAATCGAATCAGCCCGGGAATTGGGCTCGCTCTCCTTCGAGTCGAGCATTCAGCTCGTAATCACTTTGCCTCGACCCAACACGGCGCTCGGAATACGGAATGAGTAGCGTGAAGAAGCGCGTCCGATCGGAGTTCCTATTTGCGTCACTCAGACGAAGAATTAAGAGTCGGCTTAGAGGGCGAAGGAGCACGACTCGAGGACGAGACTAAGAAGGACGCGAAGGGTGAAGCCGAGAAGGGGATGAACGAAGAGAGAAAAGCACTGAGAAATAGGCGTAAAGACACGTCACGAAAAAAAAAAAAAATTTTTATCCACCAGAGTCAATGACGAAAAATCGCAAAAAAAAATTTTACTCACGTGTCCATGTCTGTCCATGTCATTATTGGTCAGCTTGACCTTCTCGAAGGAGACGACCTGCTTGCGCAACTGTTCGCCGGTGAACGGCGAGTCCGGATGTACGTAGAGTCTGGCCGGTGCCGGTGGATCGGCTTTCCCAGCCACCAGCCAGGAACTCCTGTGATAGGCGTATCTGTACCTCTTGTTGTCCACCGGCACAATGTCCATGAGCACCGCGTAGCGACCCTCGGATCTGAGACCATTGAAGGATACCCGGCAGGTAGGGAACATCCTCCTGTCAACATAACAACGAACAAATTCATTCGAGGTACTTTCTACACGTGGCACCCTCTATCGATCAACAATATCAACCTATACTTACCATATAGTTGAAACAGACCCCCCCCCCCCAA